TGTTTTCCTTTTCCTGCATGAGAATTCCTCCCAGTCCCACCTATCCTCTACGAGACTGGAAAATGGCTTTTCAAAGAGTGTTGTTAGTACCATGGGGCAATTCTCTGGTTGTTTTCATGCTGATATTTATTTGCTGCTTGAGAGGCCATTTATCTAAATATTTCCAAATTCCAAGTGCATTCAGAAGGTTCACCTGAGAGACTAGTGGTGAATTACTTATCAAAATCAGATGAATTAATGGGTAGCAAATCTACCCACTCTCTAAGGTAGAGAGAGGCAGGGAAGGAAAAGAAAGGAGGGGACAAAAAGTAAAGGAAAAAAATCTCCCTGTGTTAACCACAGCCCTTACATTCATGTTCCCTACTGGAGTGGGATTTTGCCTTTTTAAGTCAGCCCAGTTTATGCCTGCTTGTAAATTTAATGGTCACTATTGTGACAGCAGATGTCCACTCAGTTCAGCTGCTATTTACATCATGTGGCATCCTGGCCGAAGCCAAAATGCAGAACAAGCTGTCTAAAACCCGAGCTGTCAAAATAAATCTCCATAGAGACATTGTCTGCTAATCCATGGGAAGTGGAGTTTAAGAAGCTGCACGAATTGCCAAAGCAAAAGCCAAAAGGACACCCATTGTGTGCTCCATCTTGAAATGACAGGCACACACGGGCCTGTAAGAAATCATGTCTAGGCTAAAGCTTTACAATTAGTCCCTCTGCCAGGGCTTTCAGTGCCAGAAATCCCCACAGGGTAGCACATAAGAGTTGGAGGCTGCAGTTGGGTGATTCAGATACAGTACTGTACAGTGGCAGCCCTGGCTTTTGGGAAATTTGGGCACTGCTCCAAGGCTCGCTGCTGCTCTGAGAAGCTCCTTCTCCTGCTCACTGAGGTGTACAACTTTATTTCTCATCCATTTGGACCATTGCTGGCAATTGCTAAATTCTTTATTTATAATCTTGAGTAACAGGAAAATAAAATGGGAAACAACTCTTCCGTTCTTTGTGCAACAGTTTTTTTCTTCTGTTCATGGACTTTAAAGCTGGTGAAGCTCACAGCAATGACTACTAATTAAATATATCCTGAAACTGTACAGGGTTTCCCAGTCAATTCTGACACTGAGGGACTTGGGTGTCAGCTTCTTTGGGACCTTTTTAGTCTTTAGATTTTATTTTACTTTCAAAATCATTCCTCAATGTCCATTCAGTTTTTAAAACATCTTGAAAAATATTTTACTGTCCTTCTTGACACTTTTGAGTTGTTAATTTTTTTTCTCAAATTTATGTCTATGTACACACACACTTTTGTGTCCTATGTTTTTTTATCATTTAAATACTTTTTAGTCTATTCTTTCCAGGCACTTGGAAATAAATGTGAAATTTACCACACAATGCAATTATAGCCTTCCAACATGTTTAAATCACACTGTGGTCAGTCTGAACATTACTTTGCATTTGTGGAATTTTTATGCATAGGTGGCATTAAAAATATTTGCAAAGACTTTATAATTCAGATCCAATATTAGCCTTTGTCTGGATCTCCTCACCAGATAAACTGGACACTTTTTAAGATGTTTGGAAAAACATATTTCAAAGCTTCAACGTGTGTTTTTACATTTCGTCTTGTACTTCAACTACTTGCAGGACTGAATTTTAACCATTTTGAGCACATTATTTCATTTATATTCTGCTCAGTTCCCTCATTTTGATAGCTGTTTTCTAGCAGATCCTTTTAAGAAAATGAAATAATAAAAATTTTTAGGTACGGTTCAGAGCTATTTGGATTAATTTTTAAAACATCATTACCTTCTCCTTTAAACTTTATCCTTATTTTTTCAATTTTACACTACTCTGATTTCCAAAATAAGTACTAAATGATACTGTGGAAGGAGGAGTTTGTTATATATCACATGTAATGCCCTTCAAGGAGTGGCTCATACTGCTCTCCAAAGTGCTCGGCCCAGGCTGATGGTGCAAACCTCCTTATTTTATTCCTAAGTATTCCTGATGTGATCCAACACTCATCTGAGAAGAAATTTTAAAATAGTAATAATAGTAGGGAACATTATACTCAGAGATTCCAAAATATGTTGCTTAATGCCAAAATATTTGAAATAGACCCCAAAAAGAAACAAATTGGTCAAAACCTGACACAAAGAGATTATTAATGGAGCAAATATTTCCAAAAGGGAAAACTGAACAGAACAAAGTGTCAACAAATAATAATTTTAAAAAAAAGCTACTAATGCAGTAATTCCAAAAGATATTCAGATGTTCATTTTGGTTCTTACAGCACATCTTGATAATTGACTTTGACCAAGAAAGAAATTGTTTGCAGTGATGAATATTCTCCTCATCCTGTTGAAATTAGATGTCCCTACAGCTCTTCTATTACAACAGCAACAGAAAATCCAGTGAGATATTTATCTGTACATGTCTGATACTACTGAAAATCTGACCCAGAGCCTTGAAGTCACATTCAGCAGAAAATCAGTCTGCTTAATGCTTTGAAATTACACTCACAATTTAGCAAGCATAGGGTTTCTCCTGTGACCCATGCCAAATGACACAGAGCTTGTACCAGTTTCTACCTATTGCCTGTCTTGTATGAATCACCAGTGCAGTAGCTAGGCTTGTTTCAAAGTAGCAGCAGTTGAGATGATAAACTGTGATGCCTCATCTATGAGACAGTGAGAATAACCACAGGAAAGAGAAAAGAAAAATCATGTTTATTCTACTCGGGATCACTATTTATTCAAAGTGCAAAAAATATCCAATAGAGTCTGTAAAATTGAACACAGCCACGGTGAATGTCACAGGATGATCACTCCATCCTCTCATCCTCACAAGCAAAGAGCAACAGTGCTGTCCCAGCTGGTGCCTCTTCCACTGCCAACTCACAGACTGTGTCATAGCAGGTGAGAGCTGCTCCTCACCAAGGCTGGAGGCTGCAAATTACCCAGCTCGTGTCTCCAGTCAGCTGAAAAGTAAATACCTATGGTTCCCAGACAGCTCCTGTAAACTTGACTTACAGGCAAGTCCTTGGGCAGTAGGTCCACTCGGTTCACCACAGGAGAACTTCAGGACAGCCTTGATTCCTCAGGATCTTACCCATCCAGGGCCATGGCAGGGTGATTTCTGCACAGCCCAGTGGCTGCAGATGTGGGCCATCATCAGGCTTACACACAGCACTCCTCGTAACATCACAAAAACTGCCACTGGAAGAATATTTTTCTTCTACCTTGGAGAGAGACTAAAAATGCTCAGAAATGCAACTGTATAAATAAGTAATAAATCTATTACATACCACATATTCCATCAGTTAATTTGTTGTATTAAAATACATAATTTTACAAAACATTATTTGCAAACCCAAAAATCTACATAGTCCAGTGATAAAAGTAGCACGTATTATTTTATACAGGGTGTATACAATAATAATTTATACAAATTCTCCCAACACAAGTTCTTTATCATTAATGTAAGGAATACAGGGACTCTCATCAGAAACTACTGTAATGTATCCCTGTTGAAAGTATTTATGTTGAGATCAAATGACTTGATTTTTCCATCAGGCCAAGAAATCTGCCATAACTGTAGAAGGACTTGCAAAATCCATACAGGGTTCCATTCCAACCCATGAATTTTGTTAATTCCCACTGTACATACAGGTCCAGCATGTGAATGGAGGTCCTTTCAATAAATTTACCAACACACATTTCAAAACAATTCAGAAAGCTTTACCACTTTAAGTTCAACTTTAAGTTGAAGTTACCACTTCAGCTTGGCTAGATCTCTCCCACTCAACATTTGGCAGAACATATATCATTTTCTTCATGAATAATATTTATTACAGAGAGAAAAAAGTGTTATATACATTTCAATGACTGATCAGCTCACCCTGACTATGAAAGTACATTTAGATTAATATTAGACAGGTTTTTTTCAGGGTTCTTGAACTTGTAAAATGTTTGAAACCCACAAGTCTGCCCTGAGCCTCTGCCACCATTGAGTTCATAGTCAGTTATGGCTGATGTGTGCATGGCCAGTGATCCATCACAGCATCACAGTCTCCTGCTCTGCATGGAGCAAGTTATTTGCACGACCAAGTCACAAGTGCCTGGCTGACCATGTGGGTCTTCACTATCAGTTTTGCCAGGAGCACAGGCAGCAATGACAGGGCTGGTTTGGGAGATTTTTGCAAAACTGTCCAGTGTAGGTTTTCCAGTATAATTACAAAGCATTACAACACCACACACGATGTGCAAAGTAAGCTATTACATGATTTTTTAACTAGCACAGCTGATATAAAACATATTCTACTAATTACAATAAGGTAAAAAATGCCAGCTAGGACCAATACTGAAGGATCTGTGCTGTACTGTTGTTCAATAATATCTTGAGAATAGTGTTTAGGGAAAAAATGCAATCAGAAAATGTTATTATGATTCTTGGGAGTGGATTGGGTTTTGTCTCTTGATTTCTATCTCCTTTGCACATGTCTATGAATTCAGAGTAGAGTTGTTATTATGTTGGACATATTAGAAAAGGTTGCTGTGATCTACTAAGCATCAAACTGCGTGTTTCATGCAAACACAGGGAACATCAAAAGTGAGACTCTCAATCTTCACTTTCATAGATATTTATAGTAGAATTACTAAACACTCCCCTGTTTGTCAACCAAAAGAATATCAAAAGAGCTGGGAATAAAATACCTAGTATGTTGCAGAGCAGGTACTAAACAACACCAAGCAGAACACACTCAGAAATGTTGCTAATGTCCTCACACTTAGTGTGCATGCTTCATTTTACAGGGAAAAAAAAATAGTCCAGAAGAACGAGGCCATTATCACAGAAGCTTTTGACTGGGTACAAAACACCAAACCCCAAGTGGTGTAAGCAACATGTTTCTGTAAAGCTTGGGCACCATCTACCCTCTTGCATCCTCTTCCAGAACATGTTGGAGACAGAAGTATTGACAGGCTGGCCTGCAGTGCTGGAGCACAGAGTCATATATACAGCCACATGCTTTCCACCTGGCAAGCTGACAATCATCCTAGCTACTATCAGCAAAAGTATTCATTAGGTTGTCCCTCTATCTTTGGTATCGCTTCCGAGTCCACGCTGGAGCGGGCAGACAGCAGCCTGTTTGACTCATCAGGGGTATGTCTAGTCAAGTATTCCCCTTCCACGCCTTTTGCCTTGGCCCCAGGAGACAGGCTTTCAAAGGTGACATAGGATTCCTGAATTTCCTTGGGTTTTCGCACGAAGCACTTCTTGCAGCGCCTCTTCAGCGCTCCGCAGCAGACCACCAGCGTCAGGGGAACGGCGATGACACAGGCCACGCTGATGACAACCACGTTGATGAGCTTCTGGGTCCCTCCTGCACTGGCAACTTCATCCGTGGAAAATATGATGCACTGCTCCTTCCTGGGGATCAGTCCTTTCACACAGACACACACGATGTATTTGGTCTTTGGCAGCAGCCCATAGACGGTGACCTTGGTCTTCCCCGGCTCCACGTTGATCCGCCGCATGTCCCTCTCTCCAAAGATGGCATAGAGGACACTGAACACCGTCGTGTTCTTTGCCAGAGGTGCTTTCCAGGCCAGGGTGATGCTCTGGTCGGTGTCTCCTATTACCCTGACACTCCTCACCATTCGTTCTGGCTCCTGCTGACCAGTGGGTGGGCTCACCAGCAGGTTTCTGGGGTTGCCGTCTTGTTCCACATCCGAGAGGAGGCCCTCTCCGGTGCCCACTCCAGCCCCCAGGGTAGGCACAGTGGAGGTGGTGATAACGTACCTTGCTACTAGTTTGTCATTGTAGGCAGCTGCTTCCATCCCACTCGCCTTCCCATTCCATGTGCCTTTGCCATTAGAGTTAGGGTCATCCGTGCTTTCGGAGTCTGTGATGATGAGAGAGATGAACGCCTCTGTTGCTCCCAGAAAATTCTTCGCTTTACAGATGTACTCTCCAGAGTCAAGGTAAGAGACTACAGGCAGGCCCAGAATAGACCAGCTCATCCCATCACTGGAAATCTCTTGGTGAACTGCAAGGTAGGAAAAATATTAAATAAATAGTCAATAATAAATAGAATTAATAACATGCTTGTAAAATATTGAAATTCCATCAACCAAATATCTGCTCAATACAGTAGAATCATCATTTCTGTTTGCCACCAAGAATGTTACAAAATCAAAGTAAACCTAAGAACAGGGCAGTAACACTAAAATTAGGTTATGTTGGGATTGAAGCTGCTTCAAAATGAATATATGTGTAACATTTGACGGTATTTCCTCCAAACTGATGTACAATTTGAAAACATAACAGAAAAGGTTCTTCCACTTACAAAAAAAAAAAGTTTAAAAATTCTTATGTAGGTACAATACTTAAAAGAGTGGAAGGAGTAGGCAGTAACATGATCTATTTAAACACTAGATGCAGTCCTCTGAGGCACAGAAAATACAAACAGCAGAGATTTTATTCTAATAACTGCATATGGACTAGTCCAGAGTGTATGAAAAAATAATTGAAAAATAATAACCCTTTTACTGCTAAATTATTGCAGGCTTTTATACAGGCCTGATCACTTACCACTGAATTACATGTACACAACTGAGTGTTGATTTTCTGGCTTGCTTTACCTGGAGGCTAAAACAAGCTTTTGTTGCCTTTTTCTATTTGTGCAGGAAAATAAAAAAGTTAGGATTCTGTAGAAGGGTAAAGAACCTTCTTCATTATTTAAACAGCCTCCTTAGGATGAGCACATGCTACCTCTACCCTTTCCCACTGCAAGGTGAACCAGGGAGACGTCTGAAAGGCAAAAGTAAGACAGAATGCAAACTTCTCCCAAGCCCTCATGGGGTCAGGATCCAGCTTTGGCTGGATCCAGCGCCCCTTCCATTGGCAGTGGAGTACAAGGTAGCAAAAGTTACTTTTTCAGTTTAATTATTTACTAAATGGGCAGATCAGAAAACATGCAGACAGCCTACCTACGGCACTTCCCTGTACATACAGACTGTGGGCTGTTTCTCTCTCCTTTCTGTTCAGAACACTAACATTTCAAACAGTCATGTTACAGCATTGGCACTGAAGCTGCCGTTGTTGAGAAATAATGTATCTTTTCAGCCAACTGTTTACTGAAAGGTGCTAAGGTCTGATTTAATGGGGCACAAAATACATCGTTCTCAGTTGTAGCTCAAAGTAAACTCAACATAGGCTTTCAGGAAACCATTCTGTTTGTTGTTGTTTTTGGTTTTTTTTGGTGTTCTCTTTCAAGTGTAGGAGGGATGTTCACGGCAGGATGGGTAGACATTATCATTATGAGGAGCAGGTCTGCTATATCCTGCACACCATGCACAACAGAGCAATGACTTGTGCAGACCTCAAAAAATTATATTTATTACAAGTAGTTCTACTGCTGTGAAATAAAAATGCTCTCTTCCCTGTTCTGTGCACCAAGGAGCCCTGTAACTCTTGGAAGATCAGACCCCATACTTAGCAATTTATCTGCTGAGTTTAGATCTACTGTGGAAGTCAGGGCCAGGCCTGGAATACAGTATTATTCAGGGAAGGTTGCAGGGATGAAGGTTCAGGTCCTAGGACGAAAAGCTAAGGACAATTGTATTCAATACAGCAAAAGTATCTTCCCTAAATTCCCCACACATTAAAGAACGAACATTGGAATTTTAGCTCCAAACATTCTTGTGAATGCAAATGAAAACATGATCAGTGACAAAACCAGTGGCTGTTTGAAGACTTGCCCCACAAGAGGGGTGGGCACAGAACAGGTACTCAGACCAGGTGGTCAGTGTTTCTCCCACAAAGCTTTTTCCCAAGACACCTTGTCAACCTATCAGAAATTAATGATTTCTTGCAGACATTGCCACTGCAGAATTAGATCCTTCAGCAGTTTAGTGGCTTTTTTGTTTTTTTAATATATTTGCAGCCTTTTCTTTCTCTCTACAGCAGATCTAAATCCCAGTTGAGTCCACATCAGACATCTTTGCTAACAGACATGTTTGCTAACTGATTAACAGTAGCTATTCATTATCTCAAAGATGCACAGAATAATTCAGTAGGAAGCCTTGTCAGTGACTGAATAACTCAGTAACTGAGAACAGCCTCTTGCTACAGTTGGACACATTTCATTTCTTCATCTCCAACAGATTTGCAGAAAACTCCTTGTCTCACCACCACAATTGCTATGAAATAAAACAAAACCAAATTTTTACACGTTATAGTATATATTTATCTGATCATATTTTCATCAACATGTAAGTAATTTTATAATCAATGGAAAATCACATTGTAGTAGTGGATTACACACAGTACTATTGTGAATTACAGTGAATCTTAATCTTGCACCACTTGAACCTAGGAAGGTTCTGTTGTCATAGAAGCTTCCATTTGCTGAACAGTCTGTAGAAAATAAAGGTACAGGTCTCTATCACTCATTCCCTGTGTGAGAAAAGGTTAAACCAAGCCCACCTGTGCCGTTCAGTTGAGCACCGTCAGCTCTCCTCCAGCTGAGCTCAGGGATGGGCACCCCTGTTGTCCCACATCGCAGCAGCACAGTGCTGCCCAGGATGGTCTTCACTTTGGCTACAGACGTGTGTACAACGGGGCTTTGACACTTCCTGAGCTCCACCTGGCTGAAGAACACTCCTGCAAGGCTCCTGGGCGTGAAGCATTTCAGCCTGGGCTCAATGAACGCTATGTTAGGAGACTGGAAATTCAGGAAATGGACCATTTCATACAGACTGCAGTCACACACCCAAGGATTGTCTTGCAAGCCTGTCAAAAGAAATCAGAGCACTAAGTCATTCCAACAGCATCTGTTGTTTCTGCCACTTTCATTTCTGTTTTTCAGCAAGACAAACTGTGATAAGCTCCCAAACTGCTCTGCAAGAACTGCCTGTGCTTATGCAGGGGTATGTGGGGTGTGGGGGAGTGATGTCCTGACAGCCCCCTGAGCCTGATGGATCCCATGGTTGCCTGTTAGTAGAATGGAATAAACATGGCTTGCTAAAGTGTCTCAAAATCTGGATCTGAATTATTCATATTATGAAAACATTGCAATTTATGCACCTAAAGAAGCAAAACAAGAAGTTATTATAAACACAGTTGGTTCCAGGATGAAAAAAACAAGTAAGCATGGGAGAAGGGATGTGAATTTTTTTGGTATGAGGAGACTATGAAGCCTCTTCCTGAGATAGGTCAAGAAATTCTTCTCACTGGACACTATTAAAATATTATCCATATTGTCATGCCTACTTTCATGCCTACAATAGGTGTAGGTGATCCTACTTGACTGTAATAGTTCTCTTCCAGCCCAGTTATTCTAAGTCATCTTCATTATTTTAGTAATCAGCTAAAATGACCTGTTTTTCCTGAAATACTAATTTACACGGGATAAAACAAAAGAACTGTTTTAAGGATCAAATTGAAGAATATTCCTGCTATGGTATATAAAAGAATATAAATAGGCAATAACTATATTAGGAATATACACACAGAAAGGGGTCTATTGAAGAGCACACTCCTGTTTCAGAGTCCCAGAATGTTTCTCCTTTTTTTTTCATTCTGCTATCCCCGTTCACACCTATTGAACTCAAATTCTGAAAAAAATGAGACATTGCTCTATGAAAAATAGACCTGTGAAGACAGTACTGAAAAAGCAAATTTGGAACTAGAGCAATGCATATCCATGAACAGAAGTTGCTGCATTCTTATTAAATCTGTGTCATCCTGCTTACAAATATCCCCATCCAGCTGTTCTGTGGTCAGTTTGTGGTCTCTAATGGTTCTAGCTAGCAGAATTAGCACTAGGGACATTACCATCTAACCCAGGCACACATTTGAAGCCTAAACCAGGAGCATGGCTCCCAGGCCTCCTGCCTGCCACAGGAGTCAGCTCTGCTTCCTCTAAGGGGGCTCCACCTCCTCTTTTCCACAGGCAGCCCAAGGACATGCCCTGGGGCTGGCACCTGCCTCAACGTAAAGAGTACTAACATTTCCTCCACTCCTGGTGGGAGGAAATGACAGCTGCCCACCCTACAGTGCCCACCCTCTCTGGGCCCTGGAGCCCTGCAGCACGAGTCATGCAAGCACAGGCTTTCCAGCCACAACCTGATTTTGACACATGCACAGACGGTGCACCACAAGGCTCCACGAACATCAAGGGGGTGTTTGAATTTGCTACAGTCAACAGAGACACAATGCTGATCAAAGGCCCCCAAGGTCTCAGACAAAGTGTTTTAAAGATGCTGCTGGAAAATTTCTTCTGAGATAATTCCATATCATCCTCCCTGAGCTCGGAAGAGGATGTGAAAGTGATGGGTCTTGGCAGGAGGTCAATTCTTATAAATCAATGCATGAAAATGAAGAGGACTAAATAAAGAAAGAAAGTACAGCTTGATTCTGTTGGTTTATGGTATTTTTGCTAGCATACTTCTTTGCAGCTTATTTCTGACCTCATGCACTAGATACCAATGTATCCCAGATTACCTGGCAGGTGCACCAGCTCCAGCTGATGCTGCAGCACCCCCAAAGCCCCAAAGTGAGCTCTTTGCATCCCTGCACAGCACACTTCCATGGGCTCAGGTGGGCAATCCTCATGTGGAACAGCTTGCACCCTTGGCACAGACTTTTAGCCAGCAACTTACCACAGGAGCTACATCTTGAAGTAGTCTACAAACAAGGGCTCTGAAGAGAAGTCCCAGTGATGCACTGCAGACAAAGGATGGATTTGGCTGACTCTTTATTATTCATGACTTTTTATGCCTCCATGAGAAGCAGTCATGAGCAGAGTGAAACAGAAACAAGCAGCTGTGTTCTCCCATTCTGCTCCTGTGAGGGACATGCATTTTATCTACCCGGTCCCTCTGAGTATCAGTAGGACAGGATCTAGAAGCTGGAATGTCTATACATTACTGCATTAATTTTAGCATTATAGGCATTTGCCTACATGAATATTTTAGGATCCTGGCACACTCAACCTTTGCACAGCTGGATATGTAAACACTCAGGTTGGCCAGAGCATCAAGGCACGATCTGTTCTTCTCAATAAAACACTTTACTACTCTATATTGAATGGAATAACATTTTTACATGTAACTTGATGCTAAAAAAATTTAAAAAGTATGATCTAGGCAGTGTCTTGCCATGAGTGAAATGGGCAATCCCAAACTGCCAGCTTTGGTTTAAAGAACTTGTTACTGCATCTGGCAAAACAGCACAATGAAACACCTGCTCCTCTCCTGATGCTAATGAAACCTTAAAAAACATCTGTAAAGGACACTAAAAGCTTTGTAGGTGGCATTTTGTATCTTTTTTTTAAGTCTTGTATCTCTTTCCACTGCAATCCTTTTTAAAAAACTTTACTCTCCTAAATTTATCCAGGGAACAAAGAGCAGCAGGTACTTGCCAGAGCAAGAGGAAACTTGCAATGTCTCTGATGAGATTATCAGCAAGTGCCTGAACTCACATCCACGCTGTAGAGGCAGTACACACAGATGCACACAGCCCCCAGACCAAACACACTCAGTGGAGCTGGATCAGCTCAAGGCAAGTGAAAACAGCAGATGGCAACAACTCTGAAACATCATCAACCTACCGTGGATTTGAATCAGCACTCAAATGTTAAAAGACTAAGTAGTAATCCCCTGAACTAATAAATGTGCTGAAATCTCACTTGGGGATACTGCAACTGAGAGTCAGCTGACACAAAAATAGACAATTGCCCCAAAGCCATACTTCTGAGGAGCCCAGCATTGACAAAGATACAAAGATTCAAGCCAATAATCAAATGTATGGTGTAATACACTGGGTTTGATGAGCCTGAGGTGAATTTGTTAACATGTAAATGAATTTACGCACTTGATATGGGGTATTAAATTGAATATATACAATGGCAATGTACTTGCTACGGTAACCACAGTGGGTGAAAATGCTGCAATAAGATGAGAAACTCTTGCCATTCGTGCCCCCTGCAAAATGACAGGCACTTCTCTTACCTAGGATGATCTTGGAGTTATCATTGGGGAAGTAAGGAACAGCCTGGAGGTTTGCCCAGGTGGCAATAAGAGCCTGAGGAAGAGTCATCAGCTTATTGCTAGACAGATCCAGGTATGTGATATTCTTGACATAACGAGCAGCATCTGGAGGGACTGAGGTAAGTTCGTTGTTGTGCAAATCCAGAAGCCTTAGCTGTGGCATGCCAGCCAGGGCTTCCCAGGGGAAAGCTATTAAATTGTTCCCATCCAGCCTTAGCTCCTGTAGACGATGAAGACCCTTGAAGGTGATTCCACTGAGGCTGGCCAAGGAATTATAGGGCATCCAGAGGTACTCCAGGTTGTGAAGTAGGTGGAAAGCCTCTCCTGGCACCCTGCGAATGGCTGTCTTTTCTATCCGAAGCTTGATTGTATCTACGGGGATGTTCACAGGAGGGAGGGTCATCTCTGGGTCATTACACAGCACTGTCCTGGTGGGGAAAGACAAGCAAAGGTGTGGCTTTCTTTTATTTTGAAAAGGTTTTGAAACTTTCTTTCAATGCAAGATTTTGGTCTGCTTTTGTTTTTCCACAAGATTTCTTCTTGTCATTTCTTACCGATCTCTACATCATCACCATAAGGACATCAACATTCATATGCACCTTCTCACTGCAGAGATTGCAGCACTGTGCTACTTCTGGGGTGATGTGAGTCTAAATCTGGCCCATATAGTGTTCCTGCTGGTTTTTGCTTTCAGGTTTTTTTAGAGTACTTCTGAGAGACAGTAGTGACAACATTGATGCACAACAGAGGATTCTAGTGCAAGTTAAAACAAAATGATCCAAAAATTGAACAATAAAAGCCATATAAAAAGAAGCCTTACTGACGTGTCGGAGGATAAGAAGTTATATAGGTTAAATATGACACAGGACCTTTGATTTGAAAAATGAAGATAAGAAAGTCAGCTAACAGCTCACTGGAAATGCACTAGAGCAAGCTCTGCTTTACTGTGAAGTAACCTGGAAGGTGTGTAGAGGTGGTAGCAGTCACTGCACCACAGGCATGTATAGTTATGAAAGTGAAAGCACAGAAAATTAACTCTTTGGAAAATGCTACACTGAAAGCAAGGCAGATTTATGTGTTTTAATCATTCTTCCCATTCCTAGTCTCTGGCAGTCAAAGCATGAAAAGTCTGCTGCATTTTTGCAGCCTTCATACAAAAAAATTGTGACTTGGGATTGTAGATAGCCATGAGAAATGAAGGGAGACAAAAAAGGTCTCTCAGACCAAACTGCATTTTAGTTTGCCTATCAGCAGGTAGAGGAAGGCAAATTCTTAACAAAATACAAAGCCACCTGCAAAAGATAACAAGTAAAATAGTCATGTTCCACTCCACATGCTAAACAAGATACTGCAAGAAATGTAATGTGATCAGTCAAGTAACATTTTCTTATCACACTGCCTCTATAAACAGAATATTGCAAAGCTGCCAAAACCAGATTGGTTTTGGCTGAAAGCAATTATTCCTCTAGTATCAACAAAAACATAGAACAACACTGAACTGCTCATGCAAACCTCCCAGAGTTAAATGCTATTTGAGCCTACAGTTAAATTGTTAATTTATAATCAAAACACAGTACATTACTCTCATTGTGGCATTAAATCCTGCCCACCCTCAGCTGAAAACTGAGATTTTGAGGAAGAGAAAAATCTATCAAATAAGAAAAATCCAAAAATCCTCTTTCAATAAAACATTTTTTTGTGTGTAGTCATGACATAAAATGTTTGCTAACAGAAACACCATGGCAGTAAAGCAGGGTGCTTCTCATAGTGTCCTTAAACTATGTCAGTGAGCACTAAACATCTAATCTATGGGATAATCTCCTTCTGCTAGTGAGAAATATGATTCATAACGCAGGAAAAAAAGGTGACATTATGCTCCTTAAGGGACTAATGGATATTTGCATTACTATGTATCTTACTAAAATGCACAACAGCTTTTTCCAGTCACTGCAAGGAAATTCCCCTGGGAACTGTGACATTTATGAAGCAATAATTGGCTGTCATGCTATTGCTCTCCCTTCTAACAATTGCAGACTACTTGTGTCTCTACCATGCTTCTTACTGGCAAAGTTTATGGTACTAAATCTATAGCACTAAAAAAGAGATAAGAAAGTAGATCTATTTCATGAGGATCCAAAATATTTAATGTCAATACTGTGTTCTTGTCTAGAAAAAATTTATTCCAAAGGATTTTGCAAATAATGTATCTCTGTCACAAAACCTCCTCTACTGTGACCTGCACCTTACAAAAATGTAGCCTCTATTCCATTGTCAGACAATTACTTTGTGATTACACTTCCGAAGGGTTATAAAAAACAGTCCTCCAGAGAAATGTACATAGTATGACATTGCATTCAAAAATGGAGGTCCTTCTGGTCTTGTCTTCTTTTTTAATTGAAAGCTTCCAGTCTGAGAATTAACTTCTTTTATTTTTATGACTATTGTCTATTTTTTTTGTTCATTCTCATCTACAGTCTATTGCTTTGCCTAAAATCTCCAGCTGAAGGATTTTTTTAAGTGAATCGAATTGCCGCTTTTGTTACCACAACATTAATCAAATCTAATCACACTTTAGCAACAAATCAGCAGAGCAGAATAAGACTTCTTAAAACTAGAATTTTCAGCACAAAGGTAAAAAAAGCCAAAATGTTTAAATTTCATTCCCTTTTTGCCATTGCACCAGCAGTAATTATGTCACTTCTCACAGAGATGCCGAAACGCTTTCTCTGAAATCAGCTTACTGCGTTTTCAGAAGCTAATCCTCTGCAAATATAGCTAGAGCACACGGCGACTGGAAAAAATAATGGACACAAAGTCTGGACACAATATTTTCTCTCCCAAGCCTCCTTACAAAGGAGAGGAAACGAAACCCCTGGCACCCCGAGAACGAGCGGTAGCCCCCGAGGAGAGTCCCGGCATACCTGGCTTTGGTCCCTTCACTGAGGCTGTGGAAGGCGCAGCTGCACTGGGATGGGCACGAGCCGCTTGCCCCTGGTAGCCCCCCGAGCGTGAGGCAACACAGCAGACTCACCACGATCCACATGGCTACCTGAGCATGGAAGGACACCTGGGCTCTACACAACGTGGAGGGCTTCGCCTATTGTTTTATCCATTGACTGGTCACATCTTGTTAACTCCCTTTTGTTTTCAGCCACACTGTGATCTTCCAGCCCTCGCTGAGTCCATCAGATAAAAAAGGATAGGCAGGGATTAAGGATGGGGACTTGAGTTATTTTCATGAAGGTGCTTATTGCTTCCTGGAACAGTACTAACGGCATTTCTTCCTTCAGGGAGCCCCTTCAAAACACCCTCCTCAGGAAATTTGTGGCTCTTGTGCAAGGAAAAACAAACATACTTTCTGGGGTAAGGTAACTGTTATCTGACCAGGAATTAGCAGTCATTTACTTCCTCATGGGGATATTGGGAAGATTTAAGACAGTTATTTGTATTAATGGAATGTAAGCCTCCTATATAAGAATACTAAAATATATATATATAGCAATGCTATTAAAAGGCCTTATTTTCTTTTAAAAACTCCTATTTTGATCAAGCAATTATTGAACTGTCAGTAACATGCCTGATATCGATAAACAGTTAATAACCTAGTAAATATGCACATATTTCAGTTTATATCAGGACTAGCACATGCTCTGACTTGCTGACAAAGCAAAGCTCAGATAAGGGACCAATTTTTGCTACTTGATAAGGGAGCAGAATCCTATTCATACTAACAAAAGACATCTCATGTTTATAATGACTATTATTTTCCAATGAGCGTGAAAGTATATAAATTACTTATACCACAAATGCACAATACTCTTACGAAGGTAAAATGCTCAAATGCTTTGGAGAAACTGTTAGATAATTGCTTTCAGCCTGATCAGATTGCTACCCCCCGCTTCCCAGACATACTGCATTATAGCTTTGGCAAGAAAATCAACCCCTGTGCCAGACACAAAACAGAAAACACAAGTTAAAAGTTAACAGAAATGAAGAGGGACTGAATGGAGCTGAAGAGCTAGTGATAAAGCACTAACCAGACACTACTCCTGCAGAGATGCTTTAGAGAGATATTTCTCTTCCAGTTCTGGAGCTCAGGAAAGCTTCAGTGCCAGCAAGTGTTACAGGAGGGAGTCTCAGATGCCCCACTCCAGCCTAAAACATGAGCAACTCTACTAAAATCCTGGATCTGGCCATCTGCTTCCCCCATAGAAATGGGAGTGTGGGATAAAATGTGGCTGATTGAGGCAGAAGCCATTCAGCATCCTGTTGGTCTTTCAGCATCAGTCACCAGCTTTCCTTTTCCTTACCAAAGGTCAAAGAAGAAGGGAAAGAAATTACAACAACAAAGATTTCTCTAAACATTAGGTTTTCTTGGATCTTAATTATAGTCATATTGATCAGAGAAAAAGTGCCCATCCCACTCTCTTCTGTCAGTGTTTGAAGTTGCTGCAGCTCTTCTGTCCACCTCTTGTAGATATCCATCTCAATTCAGATTTCCCTAGCAGAGAACTACAGTTCTGTACCATTTTAATAGCCTGGTTGTATCTACAGCTGTCCTTCTGCAGAGATGCATGCTAGAACAAAATCAAATGAACTGCCATAAAACCGAGGAAGAAATATGAACAATCTGGTACAAAAGGCATTTTGGAGGTTAGAAGAAAAGATGGGGGAAAAAATTGAAATAAAACATTAAATAAATAGATAAATAAATAAATAAGGACAAAAAGCCCTCCACCACAGACCATTCAACATGTAAAGGCTCCAACCGAAAGTGCTATGAGAGACAGACACATTTGGAAGAGCTGTTATGGATGTTACTCCTTAAAACTCAAATTTCTTCCAGCCTTGTGCAGCTATGTCAGATCCCTGACAAAAGACCAGCAAGGTGGAAAGGATGTTCTAAAATAAGCTTAATACAGGCAACTTCAGTTGCCAGTTGCTGAAGCTGGTCTCTTTTCATGTTGGCAACAGAGGCAATTAAGGGTGCCCAGTTCTCCAGCAAAGCTAAGTGCAGAAGGCTACGTGGTGTTACTACTCTCACATCTCCTCTGCTTCCCTACTGCCTCCTGTTCTCCTGTCCAGGCTGAGGATCCACCTCTGCAAGGAAGATCCTTATAGGATGTACTGGCTGAGGTAGCTCCAGCCCCTCTTCACCTCTCTTTTCCAGCATTCCTCCTTGTTGCCAGCCTGTTGATTTTGCTTCTCCTTTCAAAAACATAATCAGAAGTTACCAGTCAGAAGTGCAGCAGTAACATACAAACCCACTGAAGTTTAACGAGCATGCTCCAGCAACGTTGTTCCTAACAAAGATTGCTCACCAGGATTTCTGCAGCACTGCTGTTCTCATGCACAATTCATCCTGTGTTCTTCAGCAGAATGAAATTAAACTGGCAATTTTTCAATAATTCTGGGTAATGAACTCCCAGACTTTCGAGGTAATCTAGATGTGGTTTGGGGCTAACAATTAAACAGACATTTTATGGTGCCATAGTTTCACATAAGCTTGTTTCACAAGTTACTCCGATAATTAATTAAGGCTTGTAGCAATCACTTATAGAGAGGATGGCCCAAAGGATTACTTTTCACCCTGCTATTTTCACATTCTACTTTTACTGTCGTTCAAAGAGAAATTCAAGTGTCTCATTATTTATTTCTGACGAGATGAGAACACGATGCAGTGCTGCTCATTAAAGATCCCCAGTCATTCTCTCATTGACTTCCATTAGGTCCCATTTCTAGATTTAATGATTTTTCAGTTCCCTTAATAATCTCCGAGCTGAGACCAAGCTTATCGGGTTTTTTAGTGTACTCATTGGTCAACTTGCCTTGCTGCCCAGACTCTGCCTCAGCTCAATACTCTCAACAGTGACTGAAACATCTGAAGTTAAATTCTAATTGAAAAAGCAATTCAACATAATTAACCTCTTGCCTCTATTTTTTTTTTCCAATGCATCTGATAAAGTGGTTTCCCTCCATTGGATTTCTGGAATAATAAACTTGTAGAAAGTAGCCAGTAACTGTATGGTAAGGTTTGCTTTCATGAACCTCGATTTTGCCTCACTAATGAAACATTTAAGTTACAACTAAATGCCAGGAGCAGTAGAAGTAAACTTAATTTGTAAATCAACAGCAATCAATAAAGCATGCCTTAGCAGCAGCTAATACCCTGCACTTTGTCAAGAAAGCTGCTATTTAGTTAACATGACAGACTCACTTCTGAACGAGAAAGACCTGGAGGTAGGCTGAGAGATTAATAAAACAAGAAAAGAAGTAACATTCAGGTTTCTCATCTTGGAGTGTATTCACAAGTGTGTCTCTGAAAGAAGGAAAAGAGAGGGGAAAGGACCAGTCAACTAACAACCCAGTTATGTTTTATCAGCACTAAATGTTTGAGTTTTTCCTCCCCTCTGACTATATTATCTTATAATCCTTCATTGATACATCACCACTACATGGTGCAAATGATGTGCTAGGCAAGAAGCCACAGATACACCCCTGTTAGGCTTGATCTGAATGGTCAAGAGAGGGGGACTGCCCTCAACCTGAGGAAACTCAACAAGAGGTTCATCAGTGGGTGAGGAAAGCAGCTCAGGTAGATGAAAGACAGAAAACTGGAAGCAAAATCTGGCCACTGTGTTCAACGGACTATGAATTCACTTTTACACACAATTCTGGTTTTTCCTGAAGCACTGATTGCAGTGCAACAGCTTTCTAGATTTTCATGGTATTTTTAAGGCTTAGGTGTATTACCTCTTCCCAACTATTGAACAGTTACTCACACATTATGCTATTTAATGTAAAATGAACACTCATTAGATAATTTCCTTGTAAGTGCAGGTGATATTCGAGATTGTAAAATCAATATCAACTTTTGCAGTGCAGAGTAAAAACAATTTTTTTCATGACAGGCAGTTCCATTCCATAATGAAACTAGTGGGAGTTAGGCTCTCCACTTACAATTCTGCACTCCAAACCATACAAATTGTGCTCCTTGCTGCTTACCTAGGAAGGGAAGTAAACAGTTTCTTCTCTGCACCAAACTAAAAATATCAGTTGGAGGAAAAAACATACAAAGAAGCAGTCAGCAAGTGTCATTCATCTGAAGTGTAAGAATTTGTTTTGCATTCTCCTAGAATAACCAGATCCTCTATTTATATTTTTGGTGTAAGTAAATACAAAGCAAATGGTGTCAAGCTCTACTGTCAGCAAAGTTCAGCACATGGCAATCTTTCTTATCTTTCCTTGGTGGGGTATAATTCAGAGAAAAAAATTTGCTTTGTGTTTAATAAGATTAAATTAATTATTTGGCATAGTTTCCATTTTTCCTTATACACATTTTTAAAGCCAGAAATGTTTTATCAGAAGATTCTACTCATGAGCTCAAAAGCAAAGCCTGAGTGACAAACTCAATATGCTCACCTAAGTCACTCATTTTTAATCTGGCAATTGGACAGAATTTATTTTTACTTCTTTTCCCCATATGAAAATAGAAAAATATGGCATAAAGCAAATCAAACAGCATATTTTAGCATAAATGAAAAGTATAAAATACTTTATTATCATGATTTTTGTCTGAAAGGTTTTATTAGCAGGCAACACGGGCCAGACACTAAATCAATTTGATTAGGTAAATGCATCTCCAAGAAGCTTCTTGTACAGTGGAAAATCCTTCCCACTGATGCAAGTGGAGAGCACGTTGATACATTACGTCATTCTAAATTGGATCTTGCACTTAATGCTGATGAAGGCAGCTCCCCAGACCTATAGGGCCAAAGCCATTAATAGACCTCTAGACATGCTGAAAAAATACAACAAACCTAAACAGGTTTTGGCATGGAACATTAAAAGTCTATCAGTGGTATTTCTTTTCTGCACACATTTACCTTAGCATAGATTTACAGAACCACAGCTCTTCTACTCTTCTCCAAAGGCCCCACAGTGACAGGCAAATTCCACTGGGATTGGACATACAGGACCCCAGAGCAAAATTCTCTGGGACAAACTCCCAGTACACTCCTTTGCAGAGGGAAATCAGAAGAC